GGCGTCAGAGAAAAGGCTGAGAGATGACGGGAGGAGAAAAAGGGAGCTCCAGTCTCTTTTTTAGGACATGATTTTAGTTAGACTTTTATGATAGTAGTGCTTCTTCATCATGTAACGAATTGCAACAGATCACACATATACTTGCCTCTATACTCTTTGTCGAGAAACAAATTCATATCTTGCTGGTTTGAATTTCTGACGACTCTCAAAATTAGGGCTGTTGATGTGTCTGTGAAGTGAACTGTGTCAAAATTGCCCCACTTGCGGCTTGCATTACCATGCTGCAATAGCATAACGTCTATCAAGAAAAAAACAAGAAATTGGTCAGTCTTTTTTTTTGTTGAGTGAAATGAGAACCAAGCAACCAGTTGCCACCTTGAAATCAATCTTAAGAACATAAGGTATGCATTGCAAAAATTGATCTACATAATATATACAACTTGTACTTTGTGCAGAGATGAAGTACGGCTCACACATCCACTGTTATCCCTCTAATTTCTTCATATCAGTGTCTGTTTTAATTAATGAATTAAGTTCCAAGCCTACTTGCATAAATACTCAAACTGAAATTCACCTGTGCGCACACACACGGACTGTATTCTTCGCCTATAACTCGGTAGCTTCAACAGTCGACATTGCTGCACTGTCACTGTAAAAGATTGTCAGAGGTGGTTGGATCCAATTTTTTTTAGGCTACCAGCAGAAATTATTCAGTTATTATTCTGCCTCTCTTTTGATGTCTCTCTCTCAGCTTCCTTCTCCCGCTCTGTCTCTCTCCTCCATTTCATCTGACCATCCTCTCTAATCGGGCCTGGATTTGGCCTCGCTTCAGTGGCCACATAAGGAGTGCAGAGCAGAGAGGAAGGAGGAGAAGAGGGAGGGAGAGAGCCACAGAGGGGTAGAGGTTAGAGGAAAGATCATAATTGGGATGACATTTTCTTCCAATAAAAAATGAATAAAAAAAACAAGGCCCCTGGTCTAATGATGGGATGGGTGTCCATACGCCACAAAAGGTCAGGTTTCCTCAGGCATTATGTGTTGTGGGTGCTGTTCTCTGCTGCATACCTTATTTATAATAACCATGACCTCCTCACTGTCCAGTGAGCTCTTGACAAAGTATGATTTGGAGATGACACATACATTGTTAGGAATATTCCTTTACAACTGAGAGTGTACGGTGATGGTTTACAGTGCACTAAAGTTCATGTTTGCTCTTACAACAATGAATCCAGGTATATTACAATGAGGCTGTTTTACATTGATCTGAAAAAAGACCCTTTAATGTTAAAGTGAAAACATCTATCTAAAGATTTATTTAAATTAATTAGAAATATGAAATACAAAATACTTGTTTGTATTCATTCCCTTCAAATCGGTATTTAGTAGATGCCCCTTTGGTGGCAATTAAAGCCCTGAGCCCAACATGTTTTTAAACGAGTGCATCTTTGGCTTTATGCTCTTCTTTGTCTCAGGTTTCTCGCAGACTACATTAGCTTTATCTTCAGGATTCTTCTGTACATATCATTAATTTCAATTTCCTCAGAAGTCTTCTCAGGTCTGGTGCAGATAATCATCCTCACAGCACGATGCTGCCACCACAGTGCTTCACAGTGGGGATGCTGTGTTTATGATGATGTGCAGCGTAACATGGCGTTTTTTGATGGCTCTAAAGCTCAATTTCGGCTTTCGGCCATAGAATATTTTTCCATCTGACTTCGAGTGTTCCACGTGGCTTCTGGCAAACTGTAGCCGAAATGTCATATGAGATGGCTTTCTCTTTGCCACTCCCCCATAGAGCTGTGACTGGTGAAGCACCCAGCCAAGTGTTGTTGTTTGTGCACAGTCTCTCCAATCTCATTCTCTGAAACTTGGAACTCCTTCAGATGTGTCAAAAGTCTCTGGTTGGCCTTCCTCATAAGTCTCCTTCTTGCACAGTAACTCAATTTTAAATGTTTCTTAAATATATTTCTTAATGACTGATTTAACTGTACTCTAAGGGATGTTTAGTGACTTGGAAATTGGAACTTGGAAATGTTCTTGCATCCGTCCCCTGACTTGTGCTTTTGTGCCCTGACATTTATCTTTTCGTGGAGTTGCTCCCTCAATCTTTGCGTCGGTTTTGCCACAATACTGATTCACCAAATGTGGACCTATATTTGTATTACAGTCGACACCCCATGACTACACATAGGTGACCTCTATTTGACTAATTATGTGGCTTCTAAAACTAGTTGGCTGCACCAGTGATGATTTAGGTGTGTCCTACTGAATACAAACATTCATCACTTTGTAGACATTATTTTTCTGATCATCAGTGTCATAAAACGCACTTTAAATCCCATTTGGTTCAACATCATATAACAATAAAGCATGGAAACTACTGCTACTTTTTATAAGCACTGTATTATTTTTCTCATAAACAGCAAACCAGCTACCGCACACTTGCAGTGCTATAGTCTGGGATTAATATAACTGTTTATTTGATTTCATTATGCATTTGTTAAACCTAAGCTTAGATTTTTTTCTCTGTAGGTTTATGTGTGTACATATGTGTACGGGGCTGGTGCATGCATGGAATGTGCAAATGCGTTAACCAAAAAGGCTCCTTTTGCTGCACATCAGTGGGTGATTGGCTCCCTGTGGTGTATCTTTGATTAGCCGGATAACAGGCTTCTGCAGCAGCTATAGAAACCGTCTGAGAGGCTCTGCCGCTTTCTTTCCGCCTCCTCCTCTGTTCTTTAAAGACCACCGCTCTGTCTCTTCTTCCTCTCCTTCTCTATTTCTCTCTGTACATCTGTCACTTGCCTCTCTTCTCCCTCGCTGCTACGCTGGTTCCCCTAGTTTAACAAGCTGCCAGGGGACTTACATGAGAGTACACCCAGAAATTTGTTGAAGGGATCTAAACAAGTGATGATTCATCCCCAGATGGCTCCATTTCCATTTCTCCCTTTCAGACTTTGAATTTTGGGAGCTTTAATGCCTGTCTCCAACTGTTTTTCTTCACCTGATGAATACTATATAGTCCTTCCCTTTAAACAAGACAAGTAATTATATTTAAGAGATATACATAAGCGCATTAAATCAAAATGCTTCACATTGCCTATTAAAAAAAGAAAGACTTTCTGAATTTGACATGTGTTGTTTCCAAGTGATCATAACTTTGGTAAAAACTTGGCTGGCTACAGCGTACATCCACATTTTTTGGTGTCCTTTATTATTTTCTAGTCTCCATTTGTATAGAGAATAAGGGACTAGCATTTGTCTGCCTTCATTCACTCATTGCACAGCAAAACTGGTGTCAAAATCCAAAATCTCTCCTTTAGCATGTGAATGAAAGTGAAGAAAATCCTTGCTGCCATTATATGAAAATATGAGTCCTGACGCTGTTTTTCGTCTATTCAGTGGTAAATATGTTGTTCCTCTCTGCGTGCTGACTACTCAGTCTCAATTTTGGGACATGTCAAATTCAAAGGATGATAGGAATAGAGCTATTTTGTTTCCCTCTACTTATTGTAATGGCAGAGTGATGCTTTGTTCACATTCACTGGTCATAAAAATGTGATTTAAAAAACTTGCCTCACTATTGCAGTGTAGAGCGTACAGGTGCTACTGATGAAGATGGTTAATGATAGTTGGCTGTGATCATGAGTGCTTCTACCTACATGTGAGTCTGTGGACCACACTGCCAGCTTGGACAAAGATATTCAATGCAAGAGTTGCAAGACAGTAAAAAGAAAAGAAAGATTTTGCTATTAAAGCTGCTACAATAAGTATTTTATACTAATAGTGGATTTAATTACGACATGTATGTGAAAAGAAGTCGCTCTTGTGACAGTTAGTGATCAGTTCTTCTCATCTTAACAGGGATTTTTAGCATCTTTCAGCTCATAGATTTGTTTATCACAAACCAGTTTTACTGTTTGATTCACTCTCATCCATGTTGTTTCCAGCTGCAGGCAGCCATTTCAGCAAAAAAAGCTCTAAAACACCCAGTGTACACTCCCTGTCCAGCACCAAACAGTAAGCTGGTAGCTGGTGAAACATATTGGATAATTTAGTCACTAAAAAGACAGATATTTCCCTCAGGATTTGGTGGAGAGAGCAAAACAGCTAGAAGGAGAGAATATTGGATTTACACTCATCAGGTGGCCAGAAAAGCAACTCCAAATGAGTGATAATGTAGCTCCGCATTTACTGGATGTGTAAATAACCAGCTGTTTGCTAGAGAGTTTGCCATTTCAACTTAAAAGGTGATAGATAATATGTCAGTGTTGTGTTAACAGCTTGTTTCTGCTGCCCCCAACAAAAGATCTGTGATTATCTTATATTGGGGCTCATTTGTATTTAGGCTTTTATTGGCATGTGTTCATCATATGTTTCATTTGTAAGGAATCTCCTGTATGTTTATGCGCATGTACATGCTTTTGAACCACACTGTTACTCAGCAATGATTTGCAGTTATTTAATTGCTACCCTGGCTACTCACAACCCACTGTGAGACAGACCTAAACAGTCAGGCTCAGGCAAGTTAACAGTCTTTAGAAATAGCTGGCAGACAAAACTAAAAGGTTAATTAAAACTAAAGCAGGCTGACAGACAGAAGAAAGACTTGCAGAGTTACAGCAACTAAAGACAATCTGGCAAACAGTGGCTGGGGAGTGTATTAATACTGTGGTAGATTAGTGATTAGCAGCAGGAGACCAGTCAGGTGACTTAGGCAGGAAGCACACAGAGGATCACTGGTGGACAGGTGTCTGAAATGACAGAAGATGTTAGTTATTTCAAATATTATTGATTAAAAGTGAAACCTTGATGAAGACCAATCTGGCTTTCCACTCATAAACCCACCAACTCTCTCCTGGGGATACATTTTACGTTAATGTTTCCATCTTTTTATCCTGTTTATTTTCCAAATTGCAAATGTGGATAATTACATTCTTTTTACATTGTTTTTATATGACTTGTTGTTGTTAACGCTCAGCTCGTCTTTCTTTTTGTAGGACTTCCTCACAGACCTAATGATGTCCGAGGTGGATCGCTGCGGGGAGAATGAGCACCTCATCTTTAGAGAGAACACACTAGCGACAAAGGCCATAGAGGAATACCTCAAACTGGTGGGACAGAAGTACCTGCAGGACGCCCTCGGTGAGTGGAGCAGTGATGTGGAAGAGAGCAGAGGCGAGGGCTGTGATCTGCTACTGTTCATCTGAGACAAGGCTAAAATAGTTTTGAAAGCCAAAAAAAAAAGCAGCTTGAAGTTCTTCTTTTCCTACAATTCCTTTTTGTCTTTCTTCTGCTGCACACAGAGTTTTCCTCTTATTTCTGTTCATACTTTCTGCTCTCCCTTCTTTAATAACTGCAAATGAAATTAAATATATTGGCTACAGTACAATTAAGAAAAGAGCAGTGGCATTCGAGATTAAATGCATTAGTCCTCCCCTCCCAAGAATCACTTTGACAGCGAGACAACTGTTTTGGAGGCTCACCGTGGACAACACAATTCAGACTGTGACAGGAAATGTGTTTTTGTCTGGCTTTAACGGCTGTTGTTGGAATTCTAAACCACTTACAGGATCAGCTTTGTAGAAGATTATTATGAGGTGATTGTTTGACCCCCTACTCCCAGTTCTACAATGTTAGTCCAAGGTTAGATCAAGTGTGTTTGTGCGTCTGCAGTCCTACAATAAGCACTTTGTATGCACTGTGTGCTTTTCTCCCTCCCTGATTCAGAAATGTACACAGTGGTAGTTTAATCTACAAACGGAGCACACATCCTTCCTGGCACTCGTCACATCTTTCTCTGTATGCGGCTAGTATTAATGCTCGACGTTTGTGTTTATGTCGTTTTGTCTGTGTGTGTCTCCTTTTAGCAACTAGCTGGATTTCCTTAAATGTTCTCTCAGTATTGTTTCAGATAAATATTGAGTGCTGGTAAATAATGCATCAAGGTTTTTGGTGTACTTTTTATTGTTAAACGTCTGGCTAAACTGTTGAAATCATTGAAACTGCGACTCAGGCAACACAAAAACAGCTATGGGCTACCTTTACAGGCTGTTGACTCATTGAAACAGTACCAGTAATTGTGTGTCTTTTATCTGAATGGAGGTAAAAAAAAGGACATTGTTATTTTTGCCACCATTTTTGCGAGGGTCTGTCAGTTTTTGTGTGTGTTGTCATAGGTCAAACTAAAGAATGATCAAGGACTCTGTTCCCTGTAGCTTTGGCATCATATTCTTCCTCTGTCCTGGCTTCAGCCACAACAAAACACAGTTCCCTTACCCTCGCAGAGACACTATAAAACTCATCTACAAAAACCCATATGTTCCTTAATTTCTAACATATTGTCCTGTTTTCTTCAGGCGAGTTCATCAAGGCTCTGTATGAGTCAGATGAGAACTGTGAGGTGGATCCGTCCAAGTGTTCGTCAGGTGACCTGCCAGAACACCAGAGTAACCTGAAGATGTGCTGCGAGCTGGCTTTCTGCAAAATCATCAACTCATACTGGTGAATACTGCGACACAGCATTGACCTTTTTTTCACTTTCTGTATAAAACTGTATAGCAAGACCAGGAGTGTCGAATTGCACATCTTTTAACAATATCCATGTGATACAATACAAATGAAAAGGAAGAATATATAACATCAAAATCTCTTATTTCATGTATTGTCTCCTGGAAACTGACTTTCAGTCCGTTGGATTGTAGTCACAATTAGAGCAATGCTATTAAAGGGGCTTTTAATCAGGTTGCATGCCAGTTAGTAGCAGTTGTCATTTATAAAAGACATCTGTTGTTCAGAACTTGGGTATGTGAGTTTTTAAAGGTAAAGGGTTTAGGAGGATCTATTGACAGAAATGGAATCTAATATTCATACATATGTTTTCATGAGTGTATCACTTGGAAAAAATAATCTTTGTGTTTTGTGACCTGAGAATGATCCGTTTTTATCTACAGAGGGAACAGGTCCTCTTCTACATAGGCCGCCGTGTTGAATTGCCGCAGTAGCCCAGAAAGGACAAACCAAATACTGGTTCTAGATAGAGCCTTTCAAGTTTTTGCAGCCTTCGTAGTTTCTACCTGCTCCGAATGCAAGCAGTATTCAGTTAGTTGCAATCTACAACTTCAACGCTAGAGGCCACTAAATCCTACACCCTGGTCCTTTAAAGCAACTTCAGAAATCCAAAAAACTTTCAATCAAGCAACTCATTCCTACTTACAGCAAAGTTTTTTGGTAACTTTTAAGAACAACCCTCAACGGATCACATGCATACTCACACACTCAATTAACATATGAAATTCAGGGCTAATTTATTTATAACATAAATATGGATTCATAAATAATGCTTAAATGGTAAGCTGAAGTTGCAAAGAAATACTGAATAATGAAAAGTGACAAGTGCATAAAATAAAGACATATTAAAAGTGATTGCAATCAAATCTGTACCAGCTTTATTCTTGTTGTTTGACAACAGCCTGCCAGATGTTCAAATCAAATGCAAATAATATGCTAACACGTTATTATTCATCATCTCTTATTCTCAACAGCGTCTTTCCACGAGAACTAAAGGAGGTTTTTGCGTCATGGCGGCAGGAATGCAGCAACCGGGGTCGACTAGACATCAGCGAGCGTTTGATCAGCGCGTCCTTGTTCCTGCGGTTTCTCTGTCCAGCCATCATGTCACCCTCACTTTTCAATTTGATGCAGGAGTATCCCGATGACCGCACAGCACGTACGCTCACACTCATCGCTAAAGTCACCCAGAACCTGGCAAACTTCACCAAGTGAGTGTGTTGTTTTTTGTACTCTTACACAGCTTTTTAGCAGTGAATTGCAGATTTTCTAATATTACATTTGTACATTGCTCTTCATTCCTGTTTCCCTTTCCCAGATTTGGTAACAAGGAAGAGTACATGTCCTTCATGAACCAGTTCCTGGAGCACGAGTGGACCAATATGCAGCGCTTCCTGCTCGAAATCTCGAACCCAGAGACAATCTCTAACACAGCAGGCTTTGAGGGGTACATTGACCTTGGCAGAGAACTCTCCACCCTGCACTCTCTCCTCTCTGAGGTGGTGTCCCAGATGGACCAGGTACTAAAGATGGCATGCTGCATTAGCTGTCATCAGCACTTTTTTCTTACTTAGCTTGTACAAAATTGTAGCCCTCTCTCATACATTTGTATGACATGAAGCTAAAAGTTAATGAATTATTTTTGCACAATGTTTGCAAACCTTTCTTCAGGCAAAGGTATGGATGTTATCGAATGCAGTTTTTCCAATATTTTAAAGCTAACTTAGTGTTTAATAAGGATACTGACATCATATTGAGACTTGCAGCAAGAATGATAGTAACTCATGATACTGATGGTAGGCTATGATTGAATCGAACATCAAAGCCACCACCTTTCTTTACAAGATACAGTATTCCACATTCAGTGTAAAATTATGTGCTAACTTGTAATGCATTAGTTTCTATCAAAGTTCTATAGAGACATAGATACATAGAATAGGAGGTTTACAGAAGGTCCAAAGGTCTTTAGTGCATCATCACAAGCTTCAGGGTTTGAATCGTGCTTAGACTACATTAGGATGTTTATCGTACATCAATCAATAATTTATTATTGCATTACATAAACAGTGCACAAGGGGAGAACACTGTGAGGCCTCAGAGGCTGAGTGAGGCATATTAATGGATTTACAAGGACATTTACATTAGCCCTGGTAGCAGATGGGAAGCTGGTAATAATTAGATAAAGGTCAGATTCATGTTTTTTGGTTGGGGTTTTTTTTTTTTTTTTTGGTAGACAATCGAGCTCTCTGAAACCTCGTCTTTTAATAATTCAGAAATCACAGTGAGTCTGGTTGATAGTCCAGTCCATCAGACTGGCCGCCCTATTTCATTATTTAACATGTTGTCTGAATAAGAGAGTTGATTGCATGACATAGGGAAAATAACTTAAAATATGCAGATAGTAAATTCTACAAAACAGCACGTAAATTAAATCCAATTAATGTCCAAGTTAAAGTGGTTGAATTAATATTTAATTTGACTTATTTGTGTTTCTTTCTTCACAGGGCGCTGCCTCCAAGCTGGGTCCTCTGCCTAGGATCTTGCGGGAAGTGAACACGGCTCTATCTAACCCATCCAGTGTCCAGATGACAACTGGACAGTCCACAGAGCATATGGGTTCGCCCCCCGCTGAAGCCAGTTGCAGCATCTCCACCGGCCTGCAAAAGATGGTCATAGACAATGACCTTTCAGGGTAAGAAATATTTAAGATCTCTAGTACACACGCACAGAGTTTATTCAATTATGCACATGATTTTGTAAGTTATTTTTGAATCTTGAATATAGATTTGGAAGATTGCCAGAGGGGGTGGGGGGGTCCAGTCGTAAAGATTAAACTTATTATTTTCTGTTTTTCTTTGTTAGAAAGTTAATTTGCATATGTGGAACTGTGCAACACAGAAGCAGTAACTGACAGTGAGCAGGCAGCTAATATATATATATATATATATAGCGCTGCAGCTGCTGGCATAAATATCGGTGCCGGCAGTTATAGTTGTGCAAACCATAAATATAACATGTAGCATCCTCCTCTGCATATTTATTTGAAGTGCAATACACATACAATATACAATATTGTAGAACGGAAGTTACCATTAAATCTCAGTGCCTGTTGAAAGGGTGCTTTTACCTCTGCAATCTGCAACCTGTGTTTATTGACAGTATTTGTGTCATTTACTTATTCCCAGGCCTTTGTGCCACCCAACAGTGCCTTTGTGCCCCAGGCTTTTGCCTTTACTGTCTATACACACTGCCCTCTCTTGACAAATTTGATTACAGGGTCTGGCTGGAAGTGATTTACAGATAGGCTAATATACCTGTTGTTCTTCAAAGTCAGCCAGAATGTGTTCTCAAACCACTAGTTCTGCTGAGTGTTAATGTTTGTCAGGTGAGGCCATGACGCAGCGAGAGTGTCACCCCCTTGCTTGTTTAGCCAGATGAAACCTCGTTTACTCTCCTGTGGAAGAATACACACACTGACAGCACCTTATCTCGCTTATCTCCTGTCCTCTTACTCCCTGGCAGAACAAAGCCAAGGTGACACTTAGAAAGATTAACATGAAGGCACAGGGACCAACAGGAAGAAAGAGATACATTATTGAAATGATGATGAAAATATGTGTCTCATAAACACGAGTAAACACAACAACAGAACACAAGCAGGCGGATGAGATCACACTGTATATAACAGGAAGATGAGACAACAGCAGAAACAGAAAGAGTCAGACAGCTGGTATCATTATGTTAATCGGAGCCCAGGATCAATATAACTAATTAGGTGATGTCCCTATATATATATATATAGGGACATATATATATATATATATATATATATGACCTGATGTCAGAGCATATCCTCTTTACTTTATCACAATAACTGTTTGCTCATATATTGGCGTCTGTGTGTCTGTGTGTGGTGTATCATCGTCAGCAAGCTGTGGGACTAAAACAGCATTTGAATGAGCCCACAATTCTCACCTAATTGCTTCTCATCCACCAACCAGTGACATGAAAAGTAGGAGAAAGAAAAAGGAGACAGTGCCAAGATTGAGGAAGGGAAGAAATTGAGCAGAAAGAACAGTAGAATGAAGTTGGGAGGGAAGGGTAATGGTAGAGAGGGAGAAGGACACAGAAAGAAGGAGGAGATGAGCGTGATGTGAATGATAGACATTATTGGAAGATAAATCACGTCTGTCAAGGTAATCGTCTTTTGGCAATAAAGCCTCCATCTGCTGCCTGAAAGGAAGGAAGAAAGGGAAGGTGCGGAGAAGAGGGACAAAGCAAACGAGTGCAGAGGCCACACATCCTCAAAAATGCATTTATTACAGTATTATAGTATTTAGTAGTTTCAGATTACCAAATCTAAAACTGTTTTTGTCATTTCGAGACAATGTACTTTTTAACAGAAGAAAGTAAAAATTAAAAATCTAATTCACAAGCAATAAAGCACAGATTTTGTGGCTACAGCCTTACTTGGTCTAGTATGACCAGTAGCTTATTGTGGCTAATGTTTTAGGTTTATATTTATTTTATATATTTATGCTGTTCTTAACTTATGCTTCTGTTACAATAGCTTAGCATTTTATATAATGCTAAAAATAAGTTTGACCTTTAGCTAAACAGTCAAAGGCAACAGCTTTAGCCTACTAGGTCTAGAAAGGTTAGCTAAACATGGCAAATATTAACTTTTAAATTTAAATTTTTCCTGTTTAAGGCCCATTACTGTTGGGTTTGCTAATGACTATTCTGCTGTTGCTGTTACAATAGCATTTCAGCTAAATGCTAAACTACTCTAAATTAGCTTAACAGTAGTTTAGCATTTAGCAGTGGCTATTGTTAATCAAAAGTTACGCAGTCTTGCTTTAAGAGAATTCTGATTTATGACATTATGTCATAACAGTATTGTTTTTGCTGGCTATCTTGGCTGGGACACTAAACTAAACTAGGACAGAAAATAGCTTTTTAATCTCAATAAAGCTTTCTTGGTCAAATAAATGTGAAATTAATTTTTTTTCTGGGACCACCACTCAAGGTTATCAGTTAATTTGTGACTTATCTTAATTGGCTGGGGTTTTAAAATGAAGATTCACTTTTTTTTTTCTTTTGTCTCTTTCAGATTAGTTGACTTCACCAGGTTACCCTCCCCTACCCCAGAAAATAAGGACCTATTCTTTGTGACACGGAGCTCAGGGATCCAGCCTTCCCCAGCACGCAGTTCGAGCTACTCTGAAACCAATGAACCTGACCTGGGCATGTCCAATGGCAGCAAGAGTCTGTCCATGGTGGACCTCCAGGACCCCCGCAGTCTGGAAGGTGGCCCAGGTCCCAGCTCGGCAGATGCCCTGGGTGAAGGCCCAGCCTCTGGCGGAGGTTGGTCGGGCAGAGTCCCACAAGGCAACATCCCTGGAGGTCCCACCCTGAGGAGGCCAGGTCAGACCCCCACCGCCCTGGGCACAGAAAGTACCCCAGGCCGACCCGCCCAGCTACTAGCCCCCCTGTCCTTTCAGAACCCAGTCTACCAGATGGCAGCCTGCCTGCCCGTGTCCCCTCGCGGAATGACCGACTCGGGCTCAGAGTGCCACAGTTCTGTTAGTTCCCATAGCAACAATGAGGACGGACCAGCAGGAGGGAAGCATACCTTCTTGAACCACGGAGGAGGAGGAGGAGGTGGTGGAGGAGGAGGAGGGGGGAGCAGTGGGGACGAGTACACCAGGCGTTCAGGGGAGTTCAACCGCCGACAGCTGTCCCTCACAGAAACACAGCACCAGCCCACCGTCCCCAGACAGAACAGTGCCGGCCCTCAGCGGAGGATAGACCAGCCTCCGCCTCAGAGTATTACTCGGGGCCGCACACCCCCGAATCTGCTCAGTGGACCTTACCCACGACCCTCCTCTGGCAACATGATGACATCATCACCCGACTGGCCTGGCAGCGGTGCTCGATTACGACAGCAGTCCTCTTCCTCCAAAGGCGACAGTCCTGAGACTAAGCAGAGGGCTCAGCACAAACAGGTACGGGACTCGCGCCAAGCCTCGACTGTAGTAGCACACACATTTTTAACTTCCAATAATTGAGGATGATATTCATTAGGGCATTATTGAAGAGCCAACTACAGCTGTCTCAGTCTATGTAATCACTGGAAATTACAGTGATAGATAAGGCTCCTGTTACAAAACGCCCCTTTTGTCTCAGAGCATGGTGAAAAAGGCTGTGTGGGTGGACTCAGCACAGACACTCGGCACACTATGCCCTAATGAACTATAGTCGTAGTGCATGTAATAACAGTAATTTGCATACAGGCAGCTCATCACTTCACCACTGTTTTACTGGTCAAGTTTAATGGGCTGAGAATGAGGGCGGTGGATGCACAATTAGCATCTCATTAACAAGCGATATACTGTATGTGCTCACACGTGCACACACGGCAATAGACGACAGACCTCTTGGATACAAACACACGCAGAATATTGCTGGCTTTAGTGTGTTGATACTATATGTGTGTCAGTGTGTGGTCACAGTGGGAGGTTTACATTGGAGTTTTCTTCATGGCCATGGCTGGTAGGTCTGTGTTCATTATTGGCAGGCCAGGACTGAAGGCTGGTCAATGATTGCTCTTGGTGACTGCAAGGGGAGGGCATCTGCATATTAACCACAATGCCTTGCTCTCCTCTCTATGGAATAGTCTGTAGGATTTCCTGTAGATTGACAACTTACTGATAGCACCAAACCCTAATTTAATGTGTATGGTAGCACACATGTTTATTCTCTGTGGTTGTCCAGGACCTTAAAGCCACTATGTGATTTCTTATGTCATTATAGTATCTTTTAAATCTTCTTTAGCCATGCTAGAGGCGTGGCTCTAGGGATGGTAATGTCAGACAGTCACTCCACTACCTTGTTCCAGGCTGAAATATCTCAACACCTGTTGGATGGATAGTCGTGAAATTTTACAAATGAATGGCCCCCAGAGGATGAATCAGATCATCAGATCATTTTGGGATCCACTCACCTTTCCTCTAGCAACACCAGCAGCTCTAAAGCCTTCACTGGTCCGGTGAAATATCTCGACATTAAGCAGTTCCCAGACGCTGAGTCATACTGACTGTGGCGATCCCCTGACTTTTCCTCTAGCGCCACCATGCAGTT